GACAGTCAGCTAACGCTTTTCCCGAAGCAATTCAATTCTTGCCGGCGAAACCTAACGCTCCACCGACTGCACACTTTCACCGAAGCCTTCGTTGTCATGCGCGCGGTTGCATGCGGAGCTAAACAAGTGTTTTGTGGGGTGTGACTGTGACATTGTATCGATATAACCAGTTTAGTTTGAGCAGCTTTTTGGCGAATGATACATTTCACTCCTGCATAATACCAAGAGAGCCGGAACTTATTAAACCGCTCAACTTTAGAATTTTCAAAGAGTGTGAATGTAAAGCAAAGATGAGCATTAGGTGCTTCCTTATCATAAGGAGCATATTTCATTTTAATTTTGAAGCTAACAGCAAAACCCTATCTCCGCTAAACTGACGGGATTCTGGAAAAATGCTGGGTGTTTACAGAGTTGTGATAAATATACCAGTCCAGCTTCACTTCCACGCGCATCCATGGTGGACTTCACTGAGAGTGGAAGGCCTGCGGAACCTTAGGTTATTCGACTAATATATCCAATAGAGGTGCTTTGTGGAGTAAGTCAGGAATGTTCCGCAGATCCTCCAGCTAAAACTAACCGTGTAACCGTGTAATGAGCGCGATAGCGTGCGGAGCAAAACTGTTTTGTATGATATGCATTACAGAGTTTGAACACAATATTACCCTTTTTTGACAGTTTATGAAGTGCGTTCATCCAAGGCTTTTTCCTCCTTCCTTACTGAAAAGCATGGAGGCAGCATAAATCTTCCACTTTAAGTTCCGTCTAAGGTGTGCGAAAAGGAAAGTAATTACGAAGAAAAATTTTGCGAGAACTCCGACAATTCCGCAACATGCTTGCTGGCGTAGCATGCACCATTGCATTTTCAGCCAAGCGCCCAGCTTGTTGTCTCGCTACATTTTATGGATATTACATCGATTTTGCAAAAAGCAATGAGTTTTCACGGGTGCTGCTTGGAGTGTTCCGCAAGTCATGCTGTACCAATGATAAGCAAGAAGATGAGGATGGCAAGCTCTCAATGCAGAGGGCCTAAGCGCTTCACAGCATTGACTTTTTTATTTGAAGATGATCCACTCTACAAACAACCCGCGCCTGGCAATTACGATGCTCTACCTGACGCGATGGAATATCGATCATTTGCTGGAGCATTTTGATGCGACAAGGATACAGCAGTGAGGCATCTCCAAAGACTTGTAAAGAACCGAAAATATTGAGTTGAAATCCCTAATGCAATGAGGCCGAATCAGCTCTAAACACGATCTGTCATCATCGTGTTCAAGTCGACTTACATGGATTCTTCGATAGACCATCCATCAAATTTGCCGAAGATGAGGAGAGGGTACAGTGTGCTAACAAATAAACAAACGGCGATAGTTCCGCTCAAACGCACAGGAATGCTTACTGTTGAAATTCAACCTCGTCCAAGTAGGGCCTTACCGGATTTTTGGTGGAATACAAGAGGAATTTGATTCTCTTCTGATTCTAAGTTCCTACCTGTAAATGTAGGCCTGGCGCGAAAGTCAACAGTCCACAGCTCAATTGCAACGCTTTTGATACTAAAGAAAAGCAAGCCGAAGTTTGCGTTTTGTGACCCCGCTGAACCACCTCTTGCTACAAGAAAATTTTGAGGTCTCGCATGGTGAGTTCTTCCGAATCCACCTCACAGTTTCGGCCTCGTGCTGAAGGCTGCTCACCTGCTCACTCCTTCACACCCCTCCTAGAGAAGAGATCTCACCTAGCTTAAATGATGTCGAAATCGACATTTTATCTATCTTCGATCAGAATTCTGTGGGGTTCTATAAAAGGGCCGTCGAACAGGTTCTAGTGCGTTGGCGATAGGTTGTGGGTTTTGATGGTGTGTATCATGCTGGATTTTAACAAAAAGATAACAAATGATAAAATATTACAATCAAAACTTTGCCAGTTTGTTGCAGGACTTATAGCAACCTAATAATTTTCTTCACATACTCCGGCCACCGTAATCTTCTAACTACGCTTCAAAGGTGTTTCTAATGAGGTACCATCATTTGAAGCATCTTCAAGAGCACCTCCACGCAGTGTTCATGTTTGCCTGTCTTTCCTTCTATCTACTGCTGTTGACGACTTGTAGCCGTAGTGCACCAGAGTTTTTGATGTTGTGACTAAGCTCATCGTCGTAGAGCTGCTGCTTCCAGCAGTAGCATTTATCCATTTCATCTTTGGTCCGTCGATTTATCATCAACATACCCAGGCGTCATCGCGGGGTCCTTTTTGGTTTTTTCCTGATGCATAGTCCAGACCAGGGTCAAGCGTGCGTTGAGGGATCCTCTACACGTCAAAGGGGGGAGGTCGTATTGGCATCTGGGATGAAATGATGGGGTCTGATTGATGCAGTAGGATCATCACTGTAGGAGGCCAAACGTCGAGGATTGAATCGGTGCCATGGAAGGCCAGAGGATTTCCAATAATAAAGTTGTTCCGCCCACATAAACTCTTCGTGATTCAGGGGCGTGCGTAGCAGTTCTTAGTCACTTCAGAGTTTGTACCACGACACAAGTTTAAGTGCTCAAATTCGCACGTTTTCTTAGGGAATTTCGTCTTTTCAAGTCCTTGAATCTGAAGGGATGTGAAACACACAACGCATCCCAGAGTAGGCCCAATTGGTTGTGCGCGCTTCAGCTACGGCTCTCTGGAGAAAGAATCTCAATACAGGAAATCTCAAGAGGATTCTGGGAGGGTTCATGTGAAATTACAGAAACAGAGTATACCATAAAACAAAAAGTGCTTTCCGGCGGTACTCGAGCAAATTCCTCGACTTGGCCTTTTATTGATAGTGAACGTGCTTAGCAGTTCTAGCAAAAGTTGGCTGGAGCAAATCTTCTGGTTTGTGATAACATATAAACTTTTCAGATTAGATGGGTTTGAATGGAGCTATGGCTTTGGAAAGCGCAAAAATTAGCACTCATCACGAATTTTCCTCGTTAATTTTGTAAAAATCCTCGATGTGGCCATCTTTTTTTAACACGTTGACTTTTATTACCAAGAGTATCAGAATATAAATGAAACTAGGAATGAACACAATTGGGAAATTCGTAGGGCTTAGAAAACCTTCACTAAAAAGGAGCATGTTCAACCATTCAATGAACCTCGCCGTGTCTAGTCATATTATGGTGTAGTCAATGGAATAGATGCAAAAAAATTAGAAAAGAAATGGCGCATGCGCGAAAAAAATAAATATGTTGTGTGTGCAGCGCATGCGCTGCACACGGTCCCACACGGTGCTCAGGGTGTGATGCGCATGCGCTGCACAATGTCGTCAACATGTTAAATACTGGACGCGTAAAGCTGTTTTGGTGACCATTTAATAGAGAAAATCTTCTAGCTTTGTCTGCCGTCTAATTTTTTGGATGTGACCATAATGAAGCAAGTTATGGATTCGGAAAGTGTAAAAACTCGTGCTCATCATGAATTTTCCGCGTTAATTGATCTATATTTTTCATTGTTTATGATTTTCGTGATTTTAGTATCAATTGAAAGAGCTCATCATAAAACCCCAAATCTTCTTTCAATCATTTCAATATTTGTTCAAATTCAAATAGTAGATAAGCTGCTTCGAAGTCAACGCCAAAGATCAGTCAATACCTAACTGGCTAAGGCTGTTAGAAAGCTTCGTTCTACTGAAGGGGGCGTGTAAATTGAGAACCATACTATGTGTAGTACTAAAATTTGGCAAGTTTTGCGAAGGAAATAAATGGAGAAGAGATGTTGTCACAGTATGCCATTTTTAGTGGATAGTTTGTGTCGTTTTTTGCTCGTTTTTTGCTTTTCTCGTTTGCTCGTTTGATAGGACTCATCAATAATAATCACACTTTGACTTTTCCCTTTTTTGTACTCCTTAAACGTTCGGTGGACGGTGGGGTAGCAGGGTTTTTTTATGAACACTTTTGGGGGAAGGGGAGGATTAAACAGCATTTTCATAGTTCGGCTTGTGAAGAGAATCCTTTCATGGACTTCGGCTTCTGGTGAGGTGGAAGGGGGGTCCTATTTCCAAATTTTCCTCGACTCTTCGCTTGATACTGGTCCACACATAGATGAAGAGTGATGGTGAGAGGCCGTTTCCTGATGGATTCAAACTGTGACAGTGAAACTGTGGGGTGTCACCTACAGGTGTATGGATGAGATTTGCGATAGACCAGCCGAACAGCTTTGACAAGTGCTTTGGTGTTGGAGGTAGCGGAGGGCCTCCTGTATGATGGCGTGGTACTCGGTCTAAGGCTTTCTTCAGGTCGTAGAGAAGTAGTGCTGCTGTTCATTCTATTCCCTAGACCTTTCCATCTGAGATTTGAGCGGAGCAAGATTCAAGTTCCCGGAAGTTTCCTTTTGTGCATGCTTCATTCCTTCTGTCGCGCTCTACATGGGTGGCCAAAAAAGGATACACTTGACTCCACATTTCAGACAGCATTAATAACACTTTGCTGAAATGAAATCGACTGTTCCCAACTCAGCATTGAAGAGCACCTTCTAGTCACGGCTGGTGTCTCTGTGGAGCTATTCAATAGTCAATCCATTGAAGAAATTATAAAGCAGCTTTATGCCGCAGCGATTACGGTAAGCCTCGTTGAGCTCGACGGTGGCGGCGGATGACGTCATATTCTGAAGACGACGGGGGCAGTGAAGGAGGGCCTGCTTCTGTTTTTGGGGGAACACCTAAGGAATATTTCTCCGTAAAACTTTCATTAACATCGGCACCCTGCGCAGCGAAAAGTTCGATGATGTGCACCATGGGCAAAGCGCCTCTTTTTTTGGCCACCCCTGTATTTCACTTTTGATAGTAACGCATCGTGGAGTGTGTGTAAACAAAGAAAGGTTGCCTTGTTATAGTGAGGGAGGGCTCACCGTCGCGTCGTAGTGGAGCGAATATCCATATCTGGAGCTTAGATTCCTACCGCTTTTCGTCCTCCCTCATCCCTGCACTTCAGCTTTGCAACATCACGAGAATGGTCCAGAGTGTGCACAGAGTAATAATGCGCCGTTTGAGTGTCACAAGCATGCCATTACAGTACCGTGATATCGCAAGACGTGTGAACTTCCAGTTCTCTCAGCGTTGCTTTATTCAATTGGCTGCCTTAACATCTTCTTTTGCCTGCGGACAGACAGAAATACTAATAGACATGGATACCTACATGCAAACAGACACACCAAGAAACCGATTTCATATCAGGCATTGACGGTGGTGCAGAATTTCTAATTGGAATTGGAAGAATTCTTCAGGATAAAAGTGGTGGAAATTTACCCCTGCAGCAACATGGTGCTTTATCAATTTTCTTCAGGGTGATTCCCGGTGGTCATGCGTTGTTTCTTATATCAAACGGACCATGTAAACTTTTTGGGCGCTTCGCATGCTATGTTGGGTCAGTTTTCAATGCATCGATTCTTGTCAAGCGTCAGTTTTTTTAGTACAAACAGCAACATTTTAGGTACAGCTTTATGATGCACTGCCATGCTCACTGGCTATGGAGTTTATTACTCTCGTTTTCGTACCGCTACTACATATTATTTCATCCTGCCCCTAAAAATAGCACCATTGTTTATATCATTGCACTACTCTACATACCATCCTTCATTCAGTTTGTGAGTTTTGTATATTCGCTCGACTGCTTATAGTAACTGAAACAGTAATCATTGTTTCCATAAAGTCATCCAAAAGTAAGAGCGCTCGATTCCTCCAGAAGCTTTCAGAGCACGCATCCTTGTTTTGAAATAAACTCGCATTGTATACCAAGGCTAACCTATTTCCTCACAGTTATCTTTGAAACAAGTGAATGATTTCTTTACACATTTTTGTCCCTTAGGAAGACTTTTTTTTGATTTTTTGTTAGTAGATCCAAAAATCAAACACAGGTTCACTCGAGTATCCAGGATGATATACCCGACAAAACTGGCAACCTCAGTCACAGGTTGTGAGTCAGAACACCTCTGCATAGTTTTGTTCAGCCGCTTCGACATGCTTGCGACAAGTGATTTTTCAGAGCGGTGCCCGCTCTCAAGCCTCTTGAATAGAGTTCTTCAAAAACTTTGTCGAATTGCCATAGAGTTCCTCGAATGCTTAACTTTGTCGAATTGCCTACAAGGATCTGTTGTGCGTCCTTGATTGAAGATAAGGGCTGGTCGGATTGAAAAAATGAGTTTCTTCTTTTAGCGCGCCCTTGCCGATTCCCCCACATAGATAGAAGGACGAAATCTGGAGTGCCCAAATGAGAATTGCCTCTTATACCGTTACATACGAACGTCCTAGATTCTGTGGAAAATCACCTCGACACTGCACTGTGCCAATGTACTCTCAGGCAAAAACAACATTGGTTTCCTATGTGTGCATTTTACTAATGACATGATCAAGCACTATCTTCGTACAATGTGGGGGGATGACTCAGCTCAGGGTACGACCAATAGAGCCTAAATATCGGGGCCAGTTCCTTGCTTAGTCGTTATCCACACGTTATGACGTTGAAAGCGGCGATATGCATTCGATGCCAACCTCTCTGAAGGCGTCGCCAATATCCTCATTTCTACACTCGTGACGCAAGTCTCCATGAGGTAACATAGGCTCCTAACCAAGTCGAGAAATCGACCTGCTTAGCTTGATGTGCTGCGGCTCCATACTATAATACCCTTACAAGCCATAGTTCATCGAAATAGGGAGAAAAATGAGCAGGGGGGGACTTGGGGACTCTCCCTAACGTAACGTCATCAGAATGGCAAAGCAACTTACTACTTGCACTTTGTTTCCCTTCGGAACATGTTCCCACTCAAAGCTAGCCCACTTTCGGAATCAACAATTGTTTTGATACTGCTACATGATTTGTCAGCTTTTGCAATTTCAGGTGACCTTCTGCTTTACGAGTGACAATGCGGCAGAACTAAAAATGTTGGTAACAAAAAAATATGGCTACGATGTGACTTCGGAATGCGTGAATGGTCATTTGAATATATTCAACTGGAAAGTGATGTTCACAATCTTCCACATGACATTACCTATAACTCCGGTCTACATCGCGATTCTATTTCTTAGAAGGCTCACTATAGCAAAACTGAGAACTGAAAGGACCATGTCGGAAAACAGCAGGCGCCTTCACGAGCAGCTTCTCATGGTGGGTCTTTTTGAAGATCTTTCTCAGGAATATAACTGCATTTGACGTGGGGTTTCAAACCTTATTGTTGTTCTTCTTTTCTTTCGGTACACAATTCATCAGGTATGAGTTCAAGATTTTAGCATGCACAAGTACCTCTTCCGGATGTGAATGAGGCATCCTGCACATGTAAACGGAACCCAGCGCTCAAACTGGGATCACATCAAAATCTTTATAAATAATGTGTTCCGGATTGACACTGAATTTTACCTCAAACGCTGGACATAAGGTTTTCTCAGAATCTGTCAACGCTGAGCATGAACTCATGAGATCGACTGAGCTATCTGATTGGGAAAGGGATTAACCCTCGGCTTATACCGAAAATCGGTCAACCTGGTCTCACTTAGGCGAAGGCTGATGGCAATAAAAGGGAGTTTTTTTGCACTAATACTCCATACTCTTTGGTACTTTCAATAAGAACCCTTCGTACTAATAGAGGTAAAGAAATGGTCACAAATGATGGATATCAGATAAGTTGAACAGCAACCAATTTATTCCGTCCTTGAAATGAACACTGAGCAAATCTTAGGTTTTTGTGACCCTTCCTTAAGTAGCGTCGTTTTTTTTTGAAGATGGATTCACGAATACATCGCAATAATCGCATGAGCTCATGTATCATTCTAAAGAGATTGATCTTCTTTCAGAGGAGACATTTCAATCCACATTCATTGCACTTGCACGGCATCTTAGTTTTAGGTCTGCGAATAGAGGGTTCACTCGGCTAAGGTCAGTTGAACAGACAACTAGCGCTGACTAAGTGTTTCCTAGATAAATCTATCGATTTTGTACCATCTACTACCTCTCCGTTCTTGAAATTCCGCTAATAAATACTGAAAAGGCCTTGCCGTCTTTCTGTGGCTGACCGCTAGGCCACAGCAGTTTTTAACTTAAATTTTCCTTCCGAGATCTCATTGTTTTGATGTGTCGTGTCATTCATGAGAGTTTTTTCTCTCCGGACAACTGCTTCGTTCCTATTTTCGTTATGGATTCGGTCAATTTAAGGCTTGCGGGAGGTGTCCCGCGCACGAGAATAAGCCCTGGGAAAAATCCCCTATGACAAATTACTCGCGCATGCATTTCGAACTTGAGTACGACTTGTTTTAATATCCCTTTACTTTTTGAAGGCCTCGGCTTGAAACATTTTGGGTCTATACCGGAGTTCTGACAGAAAAGCCAATTACAGAACAACGACACAACTTGTTGGAAAGCTCCGTGGTGAAATATAGGGGTTGTGATCAAGTGGAGACTACATCATTAATGTCTTTCTCTTAGAAAAAAGAGTGAGAGTTGTTGGTTTGGCTAACTTTCCCTGTCCGGACCTCCCATTTCGGAAGCGTAAGGTCGTGCTTCCAATGAAGCCGAGGTGGAGCAAATAATTTTTTTCGAATGTAACGAATGAATGTACACAATTTCAAGAAGAAAACACGGAACTTCTGTAGAAATACTCAAATTGGAAAAAACGACTGTACTCATAGGACAACCTAATGCAATATTTTGATCAAATCTTACTTAGAACCTCAATGCGCAACAGATAAAGATTCATTTCAGGCACTCACCATCCAGGCATGTCTGCCAGTGTTCTTCCTGATCGCGGTTGTGATCTATACAATTGAACAGTTTGACATCTACAACCATCCAGTGCTTGAATATTCTATCTTTCTTGTCGGCAGCTTCATCCCACTACTGAGCGCTCTTACGTCGTTTTATTTTGTCCGGCCGTATCGCGTGTGGATACGGGAAAACTTGTTCTGTTTACGCAAGATAATTAGATCACAGACAACAACATCAATGGTGATGACACGTAGCAGCTCAGATACTAGCAAGTTAAACATTTGAATTCTCTCGAGGAATACTTGAAAAGTTATTCATTCGTATGCTGCCTTTTCCAGCTAGCAAATTTTACATTCCTCTTGTTCAAGCACACTTCACTTTCAAACGAAACGTTGCAATTTTGTCAAATATTTTGACTATAATTTTCAGAACACGGTAGTCGTCCATGACGCTCATATCTTCCATCCCCGATAGTAGTAGACAGGCAGACGTGGTGTCGCACCCCTTCTACAGCTTGTAAGTGCGTTACAAAGGCGCTAGGAGCTTTCTTATCTCGTGATTCACATCCTCGCTCGCAAGTCTCGTCTTCCGCTGTCGACTGCGAGGTGACGCTGAGAAAAAAATGCAAGTGCAGTTGGTTTCGGTATGTCAGTGTCACTGGGGAGAGGGGGGAGAACTGGAGGGTTCGCCAAACTAGTCTGACAAGCTCTTCCTCTACCAAGGTGGAATGCGGCTGTAAACAAGGTCCTCAATTGGGGCGTATTCGGGAGTTCTTTCGCTTTCTTTTTCTTTTATAAACTACTTTCCGCCTTCTGCTCCAACCCTGTACGCTCTAACATACCCGTTTATCTCGGGGCTTGCCTTCGAATGGGCAAAGTCAAAAACGGTTGCGGGAGAAAATGGACATCCAACGTTAAAAGAATAAGTAGCGACAGCGCGCTACCAAATGCAAGCCTCTTTCTTACACATAAATCTTTTCGTTACTCTGCCGTGTGCTTTCGACTCTGGTTAAGTGAAGTGCGTGGTTACTAAATGATTCTTACTTGTTACGTTGCTAACTAATAGATTTTTGTATCATAAATGTCGTTTCTGGATTTGAATTAAATATGGCAAACAGCAGCACTACGACCGGAAAGGCCAATGTTCTAAGGAATCTTGTCCGGAAAAACCATGGTTCGCCATAAGATCACTGGCGTGAGAGTCATCATAGACGAGTTCGAAAACCGGAAAGACTGCTATGCGTTCAAAATTTAGCCGAACCCAAATCACAATGTTGACGGCGGGATTGTTTCCAAGCTTTTTCAGCCAGCGGGTTCGAGGAAAGCTGTCATTAAAAACTCTTGTTGACCTTCTGCCTTATTGTGCTGTCATCTCACCTTCTAATGTATCATCTTCTATCGAGTTGTCCCTATTCTCCACAATCGAACACTTCAAGTCTATCTTTCATTGCGTCGCCTGATACGTAGCCTCCCGCAGATGCACTTTCCATGCCTCTCCTTTGGCTCCGCGCGACCTACTTACTGTCTGACTGGAGTGTCCATAGAGCAGGGTTTCGTGAGTATGCTTCTCTTCGGGAATCAAATCCATGCGTGAAACTTTGTGTGTTGCCTCTAGTAAACCATCTGACACATTCCCTGTTGCGAGAGACGCAAGAATTCCCTAGTATGGAGAGTTTCATGAGACCTCTTTATCTTCGTCACATTCACAGTCAAAGTTAAGGAGAGAAGTTCTACGAGGTGGGCCAATTCGTGATGACGAGGATTACGGATGTGAAACATGGATGTCGTCAAAATCCCTATCCCTACTATATATAAAGCGCTAAGTCTGTCTGTCTGTCTGTGTGTGTGTCACGAAATTCATAGCACGCGTCGCAGCAGTCGTCAGGAATTGATTCTGGGAAATTATATGGGGGGGTGGGCACGTTAAATATTTAGTGGGGGGACAGAAGGTGATAACAGCTGATAAGATCCGATAAGGGGCGTTAGAATGCAAGGGTCACGAAATTCATAGCGCGCGTCCCAGCAGCAGAGGGGGTTGGTTCCAGTAAGTAATGTGCAGGGTGTATGAACATATTTGGTGGGGTAAGAAAGTGATAACGGCTGATAAGATCCTATAATAGGCGCCGAAACGCAAATTTCACGACATCCATAGTGCGCGTCCCCTGCTGCAGATGGGAGTTGGTTTCAGAAAGTAATGTGCAGGGTAAGACGGGAACATATTTGGTGGGAGTCACAAAGTGACAAAGACTGTTAATGGCGATATACATAACGACATAGAAGTAGCTTAAAATCAAATACTAGATAAGAACCGAACTCATTTCTTACCTTCTTCGTCGCGTATTATCGTCTCGGAATCCATTCGACCGCTACTCTTCTGAAGCTCTTAGAAATGTATAGACTGAGTTTTTCTATCTTAACACCATTAGCATCAGATATCTTCCATCCACTAAACTGCCCTGACATTTAACGCATGGTGGGTGTTTACATGCATCACTTCAGCTTCGCACTCTATCGCGCGTATCCAACGGTGAACTTCAGCAAAATGGGGAGATGCTATGGGAAGATTGGCTGGTGCATGTGCCGATGCAACTTAGGGTTGCATCCTTTAGCGGTGGGATCTAAAGTCGCACAGGCCATACATTTTCAACGAAGCCTACTGTGTCACGTGCGCGGTAGCGTGCTGAGCTAAACTGGTTACACAATAACCTGATGGAACAAAAAAACTGCAAGGCACTGAAAACAGAAGTGTTTGTCACTTCCAAAGCAAAACCGGGTTGGGTTTGAGATCTACCATATTTTGCATTCACATGGCCCTCAGGATCAAGTGAGATGGAGTGTGCGCTGGCACGCGACTGACCAGGATGGTCTTAACACCTTGACGGCAGGGTGACGCGGTAACGCGTTCCACTTTGCACACATCGTGGGACATTGTGACGTGGTAACGCGTCCCACCCATGTCATCCCTCTTTCTTGCGCTTATTTCCAAGGTCTTAATCTAAGGTCTCGCTCTTTCTTTCTATCGGTCGTACATTAACATACATATAAACCACATTACTCACAGAAAGACCAAATAATCCTTAGTTTGGAAAAGATTTCCCATACTTTACGGATGTTCAGTACAATCGTCCTTTCCTTTTCGTTAATGTAAACATGTTGGTAAAAAGGAATACTAGAAGAATACGAACCTTCTCGTAGAAGATATGTATTTTCACAGAACCACGTCCAAATTAATTTTGGAACCACTAAAGGGAAAGTAAGTAAAATTTGCCATCTCATGGCCTCAACATGTTATTTCGGTCGAACTTCCATCACTGTGACTCCCGATAAGTTAGATAGATCGAACATTATTGAAACACTTCATCGCATCCAAGTATTCACAGCTCAAAATCCATGGGTTTGGTGTGCGGCAGCGGCGCTCGCAAAATCGCTCTGGTCCCACGCTGTGCAAAAACACAAAGTTCTAGGTCTTTACCACATAGGTCTTTGCTCGAAATTGGGGCGAAAAATGGGTGGTGCTAAAACGGCGCTATAATTGTGCCTAGTGAGGCTGGAATGGCACTGTTGTACGCCATTATAAAAGAGTTGTTCAGATTTGTAATCATCGCATTGGATCACCCTCAGAGGAAAAGTTCTAGAGAAAATTAATCTTTTGACCCAACTTCAATTAATTGGGCCATGGGTAAGCCGTAGGTGTTAAGGCGCACAAGATGCTCACTTGGAGACGATAGCAAGAGGTAGGTCTTGCTGATGGTTACCCTTCTATCAAAGTCCTTTCCCATGCACCATGTCTGGAGAACGGGAACTACAGTACAGGTCTAGATATTGAGAAGTACCTTAACTAGTATAAGGGACGAGGGCCAAAGCACTACTCTTTAACGAATTAGGGGACATGTATTTTGTCAATGCATGGTTTTTTGGCTGTAAACAGTAGCCTAAATGGACAAGGTTGTTTGTTCTTGGGATTTCCTGGGAATTTTAGAAAAGTTATCACTGTGATTACTAGGGCCATCTCCATTTCGTTCGCTGGGAGCATAACGGGCTACTGCTTTATCCAAAGTCCAAATTTGCACCATACACGGCCCCTACATGAGCCGCCACTAGCTCCTCGCTAATTACACTTGACAACAATAACAACCCCATGATATGGTAGCAAGTATGACAAAGCAAAAACCATGAATAACAAAGAGCACAGAATACATATTTTTTTACTATACGCAATAACTCCCAATTACTGATCTCCTTGTTGGTTCAACTTGAGAATTGGCGTACCATGATGTGATTGCTTTATTTCTTATCTTATCACATAATGCGCAAAAAGCAAGATGAAAATGGAAAGATCCAAAAGACTGGGGGTGGCTGCGTGCACACGCTGTGAATTATGTAAGAATTCTGGCTCACGCTGTAGATGCATTGAAGAGAACTTGGAAAGAAACACTGCTGCCACACGAGGACTCCGTGGTTTTAATTCTGAAGCTACTGCATAATTTTGTTCTGGCTGTCTTCTCCTTCTGTCTCATCAGAATTGCATTTTCAGTGCCAGATTTGTTTAGGAGGATAAAAACATTGAAACGATCGCTTCGGATTACTAATTATTATACTGTCACACAAATCCTTCACAATTATGCAACTCCTACCTTCTGTATAGAACAAATGACGCATTCCCACGAGGTCCTCGCCCAATTGATCTTTTGCTGACATGCAGCTCAAGGGCTGAAGAACTTCCACGAAATTGGCACGTTGACAACTCAGGGAAAGTCTTTCAAGGGTGATGATGTGCAAGGCCGCTGCATGAACCGTGATTTGAACTCGGATCAGCTCGAGTCAGTGCAACGAGAAGGTTCTATAAGTCTTTGAGTCAGTGTCGTGACTCTTTTCATGACCTTTTCTGCATGCAAGTTATGCGCCGAGTTGCCGTGCTCCAATCACGTTACCACGCTTCAGGGGACGAGAATCTACGCTATCCCACAGACCACACACTTCTCTACGATTTGAACGCATTCAGCAGTTAAAAGTGCAGGAAGTTGCTCTGCATCTTTGCTCGGCCCGCGCTCATCTTTCAACAGTCGGCATCCAGTCGTCTCGCCGAGCCGTCCTGCCTCCAAAGCCCTCAGCCACGGTTCTAACTGACGTCATCAAAACCAGGTGTTCTTTTACGCGTATACCTTACCCGTCTTTCCGATATAAATTTCGCCACAGGTTGAACACTCGAGTTGGTATACTGTCCCTCGTTGTGCACAGTCTCCACACCTTTTCCTGAGACAGGCATTAAATTTCGAGTTCTCTCTT